CCCCAAAACCCCAAAACCCCAAAACCCCAAAACCCCAAGAAACTGATTAAAAATTTTGCAAGGAAATAAATATATGAAAACATAAAATTATACACAGTTATATTGAGATGCTAATGTTATTTGCTGGAATAAGAATTTTAAACCTTGCATAAATATTTGTTCAAGCACTACCTCCTGATCTTCTTTTAAAGCATTTGCAAAAAATTTCTCTTCCATAAGGAATATAACTCAAAGAATACCAAAAATACGAGCCATACTGAAGAATAACAAATACGATAACCAATATTGGCTTTTTTATAGCTATTGCACTGACTAATGTCATTATTATAGAAGCAATAAAGACTAAGGTGACAATTATTCTTTTTCTCAAAAACATCTTCTTTAATTAGTTTAAAGGACCTGAAAGGAAAAAAGATCTGAAAAAGGATTAGAATGGGAAAGCATAAATTAAATAAAAAATCTTGTTTGAAAAAATACAACTTACCCTGCTAAGCTGAGCAAAGTTCCAAAGGTATAGGGTATAGCAAATCTAGCTATATTGCCTGAGACTATTGAAAATAGAATGCCAAATGATAAGATGCTAATAATTAAACCTAGAAAATATGAATTCTTATGAATACCTTACCTAATCCAGTGCATACTCCAAAGCCAATTATTCTTTGTTTTAAAGTCAAAGAAGGGCAGCATGATTTGGTCCCGGATTTATCAACTATAGAGCCCGCTACTTTTTGACCAAAAGAGCTGCCTAAGAAACTACTGCCTATACTATCTCTTGTTGTATTAGACATTTTATTTAATTATTATATCTATAATAATAAGCTTATGCTATTTTATACAATAGATATTTTCCTTTTTACCCCTGTTAAAGGCTACCCTTATTAAGTCTGAGGTGTGTAATTTATCCATTCAAAAGAATAATACATCTAAAATTGATTTTGAAAATCAATCACATCAAGACATGATGGTTTAGTTTAAAGAGTACAAAGTTTGGAGATATTATGAAGTTTTCAGGGTTTTTGATTAATTTAAGTATAAATTTGTTACAAATTAAAGCAATTAGTGAGATAATTTAGGTTTACTCTATTAATTTAAAGCATTAAATTGTGATTTTAATTTGATTCAATTTCCTCCAATAGAATTCTAGATTGCTGTTTAGTCTCTCTATTGTTAGAACTATTTAAGCGCAGCAATTTAAAGTCTCTATAATAATAGAAATTAAAATGGCCGGAAGAGGTAAAGTTGGAAAAGGATACGGAAAGGTTGGTGCTAAGAGACACACCAAGAAATCACTCAAGGAGACCATCATGGGCATTACCAAGCCAGCAATCAGAAGACTCGCTAGAAGAGGTGGTGTCAAGAGAATCTCATCCCTCATCTATGAGGAGACCAGAAACGTCCTCAGATCATTCCTCGAGAACGTTATCAGAGATTCAGTCACCTACACTGAACACGCCAAGAGAAAGACCGTCACTGCTCTCGACGTCGTCTATGCCCTCAAGAGACAAGGTAGAACTCTCTACGGATTCGGAGGATGAAGTTCCTGATATGTCTTCGTTTATGTTAGCCTTATAATGCTGCTGTATTAATTATTTTCTAAAAATTCAAAAAAAACCGCGTCAATTTGCAATTATATTAATCTAGTCCAAACTTGTATTTGATTTGCATTTGGGGTTTTGGGGTTTTGGGG